CATTCCTTCGATTTTTACTTCTGCTTTGTACCCTGATATTTTTCGGGTCTATTCTGTGAAGGGAGCCAAACCATACATGGCGCTCTTGAGACTATTATCCAGATGGCACTCAGCCGTTTGGTTAGTTATTCGTTACTTAAAAAGTATCCTTAACCTTCATTTTGTCAGTATCGAGTGCCTGGCCTACGGATTTACTTTTTTGCCCATTACAAAAGCCGTTGATTTTTCATCGATTTACTTTTTGATCTTTGTCAGAACAATATGGTTTTTCTTTGGTCCTTGAGAGTTGCATTGTTTTTATTTGTAAATGAACGTGAATTTGGCTTCTTTAGCTTTGTCCTCCATCGGTGTCTCTTTTCCCTTTCGAAGGGCCATTTGAACTGTTTTCGACGAGTAGGGGTTGCTTTGTTCCTTTCAAAGACTATTAGGATTCTTGTTGGTAGATTCAAATTCATTCCTGCAGCATTTGTCTACTAGGTGACGACTCGCTTTGAACCGTAGAACTTCAACGCACATTAACAGCACTTTTTGGAGACACTCAAAATACATGGTTGATATGCAAATACGTCGTCTTTTCATAAGGGAAAATTATTCATTTTCAGAATTATTTTTTTAAATGAAAGATCTTAATTTTAGCATCTAAAAATTTCAGGCCACATCTCCGGATGGCGAATCTATTGTTACCGGCGCTGGTGATGAAACGCTGAGGTTTTGGCGCGTGTTTAACAAGGAGAAGAGTAAACGAGTAAGTACTGTTAACAGTTTCGATTCCCCCTTTCGAAGCTACGTTCATTCTTAGGTTTAATTCAGATAATTTTTGTAATTTTGATTAAACGTGGCTTTAGCGGAGGAGGGCTAAGCAGTAAGTTTTTGGTTAAATTTCACATATGTAAGAAATGGTTGTTCAGACTCTTCTCCATATATAGTGTGAGACAAGTGTTAAAGTATATTTCAAGTCTTTCTCAGAGATTTGTCGTTTGGAGACTCCTTGTGATAAATTTCACGTTGGTTTTGTGAAATTTGTTTACAATTCAGTGAAAAGAAGGAATTGTACTTTTTGCTGTTATTCCTGCTATTTATTATTTTAAGATTAAATTTGGAGACTACACAGCTGTTGATCTTTCAGCAGGTTCGGCACCGTTCTTCCATGGTAAACTAGTCGTGTTTTTTGTACTAGGCTCAGGTTGTGTTACTCGTGAAAGCTTTTGTAGTTTCTTGATGTTCCTGCGTTATGCATTGAGTAATGCTATGTAAGTTTAGTCTTAACTGCATGCCTAGAAAACGGACCATGGTATTTGATTTCCACCCGTGCATTACATTACCGTTCATTTTCTTGCATCACATTTACAGCGACAGCCATGCTTTTTATGACTGTCCGCAGTCCGCTACCGGTGCCCTGTCAGCGCGTGATGTTTCTAGTGTCAGGGCGATCTAAACACTGTGGTTTGCGCTGAAAGTACATACATAGTTTAACCAGGCATATTCGGTCATCAGAATCAATACAGTAAATGACAACGGCATGTATATGCAAAACTGTTTCGCGGAAGTAGCTTGGTGGTTCGTGGAAACCTATTCGTTTATAAGGGAATTCACAGAACTACGTGAACTTTCGTCGACCGAAGCCTTAAAACCAAGCTTGACCACCTCTTCATCGCTCCAGCTGGCGCATCTTCGTCACTGGTAACTCCAGTCAGACATTGCTCGCTCTGATCGCAAATTAGTTGCATCACATCAGCGTGTAGGCTGTGATGCTCAGTCGGCGAGAATTGGCAAAGTTGATTAGATATGCCAAGACTTCGAGGAACGTGCCATTTCCACTTCGAAAGACATGTGAGTTCGGGAGGAGGAAAGCCAAGTTATCTTCGGTTACGGAAAGCATCGTAACTCTGGTCATACCAAAGAGAAATATGGCTGAGATTGCTGTTGGCTATTTCCAGTGCAAAACAGCGCCATCTAAGATCATACATCTTTGTTGTGTTCTCTGTGTTAACTGTAGTTACGATGTGGCATGGAGCTGTTGCTATAGATAGAAAGATCGTAAAGATCAGGAAGATCGTAAAAGCGGAAGATAAGATGACTGACGAACTGTGTTTCAAGTATTCAAGTAGTGCCAGAGTTGTCAGATATTTGCTGGAAACTCGACCCCATTATTTTTGATACCAGTGGTCAACCGTTGTAGCCTCAAGAGAAATGCCTCAAAGAATGAACGGTCCTTCCAGCAACTACTCAGTAACTGTTTTTCAGATTTAATCCTCTCGTCTGTGATTCCTCTGACAGAACTAGAGATTAATGCAGATTCATCCGCAAAAATGGGCGCTTGGAACGCCTTGCTGCATTTCATTATAAAGAAGGCCTGTGGTGTAAATCGAATTGCTCAAGAATTACTCATCTGTGGGAAACGGGAATGGCAGAGAAGCTCCACTGTTGAAATCAAAGTTTCTCAGGAGA